TTACATTACAAATTATAAAAATCCAAAACTAAATAAAAATTACATTAAATAATTCAAAATTTACAAAACAGTCCCTAAAACTCTAAAAATTGCATTCAGGTCCCTTATAGGGCAGTGTGAACAGTAGCCGTGAACAGTGGTTGCACGTTTCCTCCACGCGCCGCCGCTGCTGGAGGTGGCCAAACATACTCAACTTTCACGTTCGATCCAACGGTAGACGAGTGAGAAATCGTCCGGCGAAATTGACAAGTTTGAGGGGGTGAGGGAGGCGACGGCTCTAGAGAAAAATATTAGGGTTTTTTGTGTTTTAGGGTTTCTTTTCTCCTTTGTTTTGTCAAAATTGCCCCTCCATTTCTTTGTGTTAAAGGTTGCTATTTATAGGCAAAATGTTGCTTGGATTTCAAAATTGGTCCCTCAATTTTATTTTTTTATAAATTTTGATTTTTTTTTTATTTTTTTGTATTTTTTTCAAAAACAAGCAATATCAACATCAACTCAATAAGAAAAATCAATGATTTTAAAAATAACACGTTAAAATTTGAACGCGTTCCAAATATCTTTGAAAAATTAAATTCTTCTGAAATGATGTTGAAAATGCTAAAAATTATGCAAATATGTTTAAAAATGTATTTTTTGGATTTTCATTGTTTTTCTCTATTTTTTGGATTGTTTTCTAAAAAGTTATCAAAATATGGATCAAAATTGGGGAATAACCCAGAATTGGGTTATGACAATGACAAATGATAGGTCCATCCTGTTGGCATGACACCGTATTAGGCCAAGCTACAAATCTAGTAACCTTTAGGTCTGGCATTGGTCAAGCACACCTTGGAGTTTTGCATATCACCAAACCAAATCATGGCTAAGTCTTGTTAGCGTTATACCCACCGTGTCCAGGCTTGACATACTATCAAGCCCAATTATGGCTAAGTTTAGCATTAGTAATGTCACGACCCGAATCCCGGATCCATGACCGGCACATAGGCAAGGTTCCCCTCCAAGGTTCCATACCTATGCGAACCCAAACTTACATACAAATTTATCCTAACTCAATCAGAGTTCAATGCAGTATTAATAAAAAAAAATTAACTTGATAATATAATTGAATTGTCTTAATACAAGAGTTAATATAATTTTATAGTTTTGGAGCACTAATTAGACATAAAGGAAAATGCACGGATTACAACCAAAAGAGCAGGTTCTGAAGGTCCAACAAAAGTGACCTGCTATCAAGCTATAAGCCTGAAAATGATAAATAATGAGAGTGTGAGTTTAACAACTCAGTGAGTAGATAATGTTCAATATACACACACGAAATAATACAATAATGAGAAATATATATACAAGTATGAATTTAGGTTCTTATAAAAAGGTTTCTCAAATAGGCCATAACAAGAATATCATATGGTAAAATCGTCAGAAAATCAAAATGCAATGAGCATGAGGCTCCGTACTGTGGGATGATCAGTCCACACAGGTTGGTGACTCCCCCGACCAACTAGGGTTCAGATACGATGTGCACAAAGACTAACATTACCCTGTTAGCATGGGTATTCTGACTG